TCAATAAATAACAATTTGATTACATGAAGTATTCTCAACTTTACAAAATTAATACTTAGGATAACTTTTATCATAAATGTAAATAGTCAGCATAAAAGCTTGCCCGTTAGATTTCCAGCCTTTAGAGCAGTACTCGGTCAATACAAATATGGATTACTGATCATTTATTGAAGAAAAGATTAAATGAAATGTTTAATTAAATCTTGCGTAGGATTCCTATGGAAAATAAATATTGAAAAAATAAATCATAAACTATCAAGCCATCTCTAAAAATTCATCTGGGAAGACCCTAGGATTCGATGTGTCAAGGTGGGAAGAAGTAGCTAGTCGAAGCAAGATAGCAGGCCCTAAACATTTAAAGGGATGGCATTTTTTATTAATTATAAATCGATTGCATGCACCTATAGGATTGAGATAGAAATAAAATAATCAAATTTCCTAAGAGGAAAATTTGATCTTAGCCAAAATATATCTGAAATGTTAGTCCATCAACAAACGAAAAATAGAGGGCACAGAACACAAGTTTAGGATTAGGAGCATGATAACCCCCTAGTTAGTCTATCGTGGGCAATAATAAGATGAATGAAAAAACAAGTTTCCTAATGTAATAATATCTGTGGAGTTTATAAGCCTGATTTATCAACTACATATCACTGTTTTTCATGGAGTGAAAATTAGTGTAAAAGAACAAAGAAAGATTATAGTGCAAAGATTTCCTCATATCCAACACAATGATAAAATTCACTTTTTCTAGAGAGTTGTCCAGGTCCTCGATACTCATTGGCTACTTGATCTGACAGGCTGCCAGTAAAAAGATTCTTTTTTTCAAGTGAATGTCGTCGCCAAAGAAGAGGTGACTCAATAACCATTGGCTGCTCTGAAGAAGTTTCATTGTTCTGTATATAACTGGTACTTTGAAAGTCGACAGTCAATGGTTTGGGCTCAACTGGCCCTGTTAAAAGGGTCTGAGGTGGGTAAGTGGATATCACAGGCTTGGGGGAGGTTGCTTTTAGCAGGCCAGACGGTCGGGGCAGCACTAAATGGAACTGACCATCATCAAGAGTAGGCTGATCCTGACCAGAGTAGCGGAGTACTAGAAAGCCAGGCTGAGTCTTCGTCTGTCTAGCTTTGCCCTCGGCTTGAGGAGTACAATGGATAAGGCCAAAATTAGGAAATGCCTGCTGCGTCAGTGGTTGTTGATGCTGAGGAGTAGATGATGTGACTGGTTGTAGTAGTGGCGGCTACGGAGAGATAAGATTGGAATCAATTATTTGTAATTCAAATCAAAAAATAAATGCTACCGAAAGCATCAAGTACATCTAAATGGGCTTTCAATGATAAAAATTGCTTGACATTGTTTTTACAACCTGGTCATATTGACAGAAAAGCCTAAAGGAATGCACCTTGTCCGGAGTCCATAGTATGCATAATAATTTCCAGTCGGACCATGGACTTGATACATTTCAGGACGTTTCGCCGGCATCGTCAGTGTGCCTTGGCATTGTCAGCACCACACTACAACTCCCCAAAGAGAAAAATGGAATCGGCCCCTCGACCAATTGTCTGCTAAACACTTGTGATATCTCTCCTGTCCTAGCCTATTCACTAATCCTATATCCTCGTATCACTCCATCAATAACACAATTTCTTACTTTTTTATCTAAACCTAGTTGAGACCCATTCACATCCCCCCTGGTTCCCACATCTTTCACAGTGCTAGGAATGTTGATCTGAGGCTGCAGTTTAGCCCGTTATCCACTTTCTTTAGTCCTAGCAGTCCCCCTTTTGATCTGTAGGACCTTTCCCTTATCTATCACTCTATCGCTGTCACCGTATCTGCGCTACTCAAGGCGTTGTGTTCTACATACTGTCTTAAGCCTTTGTTAGCACGTATATACCAGCCTCACTGAGCAAGCCTCCAAAGTCTGAATTCTCACTTGTCATGGCAACCTAGCTTGACGCTGCAGATTCCTTTATCACAGTGCCGCATGTGCAATGTGTAAATCTCGTGGTCAAGCCTTTACATCTGAACCATGTCTATGATGAAATTTATCTACTAATAGCCAATTATCAATAGTCTCCGCCAAATACCTCGCTCTTCTATCCTTAATGCCATGTCTATGATTTCCTTATGTCCTAGTCTCTTGTGTGCCGACCTCCAAATGTGGCAGTTCTAGTTGATTTGAATAGACTCACTGTAGACGTCTCCTCTTACTTTCTGGTATCCTTCTAATTTATTTTCCTTAACTAAACATATTATCTTGATCTAGTCATCTTCTAGGTCTTCCTGTCAGTAAGATAAAGTCGGGAAAACAAGGTCAAACACTTCTATACAACGAAAGGCGATCGCAACATACTTAAGGCCACGCCATCTTGGTTTTCATACTCTCAAGTCAAAGTTACACAGTGTTCTTTAGTTAGATCGGTAAATTTACATAACCGTGAGCACTGGCGCTGCAGCAGAAAATACCGTGATGATGGTGTTGTTAGACAATGTTCAACAGTTTAAAAAAACTAGATTTAGATTATCTCGATAGATATTTGCGAGACCAGTGACAAATAAAAGTTCATTTAACCCAATTTTGTCGATACTATGAACAAAATATAAAGTCAGTATTTTACTTAATGGTACTCAAGCAATGTAAGGGAATAATGGGGTGGGTGATAATTAAAGTGATAAAGTAGCCAACTAGAGAATTCCAAGAGATACAAAATACAAAATACAAAAAACAGCGTTTATATCAAGTACATCATGAGTAGGTCAACAAGCTGGGTTTGGAGCATCAAAGAAATCTACACTGTCTAACACCCACAAACATTCATAAAATAGCTCACGCATTGTTGTAAATGAATTTTATCGTACTTTTAATCCTGAATAACCAATAAAATAAAGAAAAATAAATTATTGGTGTGCAAACGATCCCAAGTCCATTAATTTCATGATGAGACAATGCTTCAAAGATGAATCATATTGTAAATGCGAATTAGCATTAATCTGAATTCGGCAAATCATATGCCAAGAAGATAAATAAATTGATTGCTGGTAAAAGATGTTAACGAATCAAGGGCCAATGAAGCTGAAGTAGAACACAATAATATGATACATGCAGTGCAATTAGAGGAATTAATGCAATAAAAGCACCATTTACATCACCTAAAAAAGATGTGCATTGGAGCGTAAAAGTACTTTAGAGTAAAGATAAAATCATCAAATATTTACTCCGTATTAATCAACATTTATTTTCGTTATAGTTCTCTTGGTTTACTATATTAATGTGTTGGTTTCTAAAATATAATTTATTGCCCTGACGATGTCTGTCACTTGAGAGACGAAAGCATAGAACGGGTTCGTCCAAGTCGCAGGACGATAAATCGAGGAAATCTTCGCACAATCCACAATATTCATTCCAAGGAAATCTTCCTACGGCTTCCGGTAAGACTAATTCACAAATTCATTCTAGCCAACTTTCCTTCGAAATTGAAGCTAGATTCACACGGATACGAAGATTATATAAAGCAAGAAATCAAACTGTGAACCCTATTACGCCCTTTAGCTAGCCAGAGGGTAACTTTTATTGTGACTAAGCAAATTAGCCCTCTTGATTGTTACTAGTTAAAGGATGTTTAATCGATAGGCAGTATCTCAGCAAGAATGCACCAAGATCAGTGCAGCAGTCCTCTGATGCTCTAATTACTCGATTCACAAACATGAAAGCATCAGTACAACTAACAGCCCACACATCATTCCTTTGAGTCTTTTTATATGGAAAGGGACCAACAAAAGAAGCATGATACAGGGACCTAAAATATGATGTTTAGAAGGTAGCTGAGGTATAAAAATGACCGTCAATATATGCAAATAAAAGTTTAGTTTCGAGGAAACTCATGGTTCACAATTGTTGCTACAACATTGTCGATAGGAAGAGTAACTGGGTTTCGATGAATCTCCTGAGGTAACATTGTTGGGGTGACTTTCATTTCGTATGAAAGTGCATGACGAAGAAATTCGTAGGTCGATCTCACCAGAAAAGCACGGCTGGATCCCGTTGTACTACAGCTGATTGGCTTTTTCAACGTTCAGGTCGGCGAAGTCCACGAGACCTCCTCCCTCGTTTCGGGTAAAAACAGGCTAAGCTTTTGTCCATCAAATGATGGACATCATCAGAGCTGAAAACAATTGTTGCAAATGTCTCAAGCTAACGATAGGTCTAGAAGACCATCCTATTATATGGACTCAATCAAGCAAAATAAAATTTAAAAGCCTGGATAGATATATAATGGTTTGGCTAATTACCATTCGTATCGGTCCTGCTAATATGCTAGTAAGTTTTGATGTTGTGTCTATCTACACAAACATTGCTGTTAAAAAAGCTATTCAAGCTCTAATACAAACTCTGGAGGAGCATCCAGAGATGATGGAAAGAATAAGGTTGAATGTAGCGTCTATAATTAGACTTACTAACCTATCCATAAGTAGCACATATTTTACCTTCGATGGTAAGTTATACGAACAAACAGAAAGACTAGCGATGGGATCCAGCCTGGCTCCCAGCTTGGCGAACAATTATATGGCAACACTGAAGGAACAA